GGCGACACAGGCAAGGAAAAACTTCCTTTTAACAGCCAGAAACCTCGAGCAGCTTTACAAGTTAACACCACATCTGTTTCAGTTTGGGGCTGTCACGTCTGGGAAAATGTCTGGTGTCTCGTTATGTGTTGATTACCTATTGTGTACACCTGGGGTTCCCCTCCCTCATGTGTTTAAATAGTCCTCGTATCCCATGTCCTGTGCCAGTGCGTTTTCGTTTTTCGTCTTTCGTCTCCCCATGTCACGTAAGGTTTTGAGTTTACTTTATTGCCATAGTCTTGTTTTTGTACCATAGCCATGTTTTTGCCATAGCCTTGTTTACCTTATTTGATACTTTGTTCATGTTTTTGTCACAGCCATGTTTTTGCCATAGCCTTGTTTACCTTATTTTATACTTTGTTCATGTTTTTGTCACAGCCATGTTTTTGTCACAGCCATGTTTTTGTCACAGCCATGTTTTTGTCACAGCCATGTTTTTTCACAGTCACGTAATCTTGCTTTGTTACTTTGTTCATAGTTTTCTCACAGCCTTGTTTTGAACTTTGTCTTCATCCACTCCGTTTGGAGTGCCTTTTGTTGCAATAAACCCTGTTTTTTTTTATCTCCGCGACTGAGTCCTCCCTCCAAGATCCACCTCCCTGACAGGGGCTGCATGATTAGCTACATAGCTGGATTAAAGACACTACAAGACAAATGAAATGTCCGATTTTGACAATTGACTTTTGATCACATTTTTTTTTCCTCCTTACTTCATCTCAACCCATTGAAAATTTTACTTCTCAGTTTCATTTTGTGGTGATTTCTATTTATTTATGTTATTCTTACTACTCTCTCTTTTTTAATTGTCTTTATACTGTTTTTATTTATTATTTAGTTTGTGTACGGTAAGAAGGAAGGATGCGGGTTATTACTGATCTGTAGCATAATCTTGGAATGATTGGTTGTTGTTGTTGTTTTTGTAAAAAAAAAAAAATTGTTTTTACTTTTTTTGTACTTGAATAAAAACATGAAAGAAAAAAGAAAAAAAAAAGGAAAACAGCACACAGACAAAAACAAGCCCCATTTCACTCTTTTTGCTCATCAGAAAAACCGAGTTTCCACTTTGGCTGCAGTTCTGCCGCCGACCAGCAGGGGG